AAAAGAATCTGTTTCCATAAACTGAGGTCATTCAAACTGCTACAACAGGTGTGATATTATGGTTGAAAACCTTTCCACAGAACATCCTCTCAACTTAACTTGAATTTTTTTTACTTAATCGTTTCCTAACCAGATTTTCCAAGTTGTTTTAAGGTTTAAACCACTTTGTTTTGGTGGTTTTACTAAAACCTACAGGATGTGTGTCTATGCACAGACACACACCTCCATCAGTATCTGCTTCACTGCACATTTTTAAGTAGGATGAAAATGAAAAACAGTAATGGCGCTGCTGTTTTATGTTTCATATGCAGTACCTGCAGCTCCAGGAACATGTCCAGTCCCTTCTCCTCCTGTGACACCTAGTCAGATTGCAAAGGAGAAAGCTGAACTAGATGAAAACCACTCCAAAATACAAATCTATTTACCACATCTAACAGAAAACAACATGGACACAATTAAGTAAACTACTAAATGACTTTAACCCGTCAAGTTTGTGTTTTCAACTCATACCATATTTGGCAGCTTTTGCAGCTGAGGAGTACTGTCCACCTCCTGAAACTCCTAATACTCCTGCTGTTCCCAATCCTGTTCCAACACCTCCTGCAACTCCTGATTCAAAGAGGGAAGACAGAAAAGACAGTTTTCTTTATGAATTTGTGTGTAGCTACATAATGTGTAGAGTGTTAAACGGAGAACAAAACCCATCCATTTTTTTATCCATCTGTTAACGGTTATCTTTAGTTGGGTCATGGAGACACCAGGTCCAGGAGGTAAACCCAGACCTCTCTCTCACCAGCGACACTTTCCATGCAGCTAGTCCAGGGGGATCCCAAGGCCAGGCCAGAGAGGATATATCCCTCCAGTAAGTTCTGAATCTGTTATGTTTCTGCCCCCTTCATGTCTCATTTATGTCCTGTCATGCTCCACTCTCAAGCTCTGCCTCTCAGCCACACCCACTTCACGCACAGCTCAATCAACCTCATGCTCTGCACCTGCTGCTTGCTCCATTTATGAGCTATTGTTTCACAACTCCTTGCCAGATTGTCAAATCTTCTTGGTTAGATGTCCAGCGCTTCATCGATCTCATCTGAAACTTGTCTTGGCCCCACACCTGCTTTTTGGGTTTGCCTTTTTGCCTGTTCCTTGTCTGCTCATGCTCTGACCTTCTGACCCTGATAACAACAATTCCTTCTGGCCCCTGGACTCTAGATTTTGGATTGCCCCTTGGATCTGTTTAAAGACCTCTGACTTCCTGTGCATGACCCCTGCTTCTCCTCACAAACCCAGACTCTGGATAATCCCATTACTCATTGCTATCGCCACGCTCCTCTGTTGCTGCATCTCCACTAGCTATGGTGACTTCATCCACAAACACTCCGACAGGTGTAAACCACCACCATATCTGCCTGAGAAGATTAGTGGCTGTTTATTGTTGATAAACAATCCCCTGAAAACCTATAGACCACTAACTGCCATATCTCTGCAGATTTGTTCCTGCCTCTGGACCCAGACTCCCACCAGCAACTGCAAAACAATAAATCATTTAAACTTTCTTGCTGTCTGGCTGAGTTCTCGAATCCTAAAACTGATTTTTGTCAGGATCTGGAAAGCCATTTAAGGTAGGCATCCAGGAGACAGCCTCAACCACCTCAACTGACTCCTTTTGGTGTGAAGAAGTAACAGTTCTACACCAAGTTCCCCTCGGATGATGGAACTCCTCACCCTATCTATAAGGCTATGAAGAAGCTCATTTTGGCTCATGATACATACCTCATGACCATAGGTGAGAGTTATTCACTATGACCTACCAAACAACACCCTCATTGCTAAGAAGAGGTCCCAATCTATCAATCCATCTCTTGTTCTACCCTACATTCACTTATGAACAAGATGCCCTCCCTCCATTCATCCATTATCTTTGATTTATTCTGAAGTCAGATTGCAGGAACAGCAGCTTGAGCAGGGAAGCCCAGACACCTCTTTCCACAGCTACTTCTTGCAGCTCTTCTGGGAGGGTTCCAAGGAGTTCCCGGGCCAATCAAGAGACTTAGTCTCTCCAGCATGTCCTGGGGTCTTCCCTGGGGTCTCCTCCCAGTTGGACATGCCCAAAGCACCTTCCTAGGGAGGCACCCAGGAAGCATCCATACCAGATTCCCAAACCACCTCAGCTGGTTCCTCTCAATGTGAAGGAGCAGTGGCTCTACTTTGAGACTCTCCCAGACAACTGAACTTCTCACACTATCTCTAAGGGAGAGTCCAACTACCCTGCGGAGGAAATTCATTTCAACTGCCTTTATCCACAGTCCCATTCTTTCAGTCACTACTTAGAGTTCATGGCCATAAGTGTGGGTAGGAATATAGGCAAACAGCAAGCTTTGCCTTACAGCTCAATTCCCTCTTCATCACAACAGACCGACATAGAGTCCGCAATACTGCAAACGTTGCACCAATTTGTCCATCAGAATGAACAGAATCGTGACAATGGGCAGTCTTGGAGTCCAACTCCCACCCTGAATGGGTCCGACACTGCTAGCCATGTGAACTCTTGCACTGCTTGTATAGGGACCAAACAGCCTGTAGCAAGAGGGCCCTCAATCCCACACTCATGGAGCACCCCCCACAGTGTACTTCAAGAAACATGGTCAAATACCTTCTCCAAGTCCACAAAACAAATGTAGACTGGATGCGCAGACTGCCATGACCCCTCGAGGACCCTAGTGAGGGTAAAGAGCTGATCCAGTATGGCCAGGACAGAACCCGCATTGTTCCTCCTGGATCTGAGGTTCCACCAACAATAGGACTTGTTTCTCCAGTAGTTGCCTGATTAGACCTTAACAGGGAGGCTAAGGAAAGTGATGATTATATCATTGGAGCACACCCTCTAGTCCCCCTTTTTGAAGAGGAGAACCACCACCCCAGTCTGCCAATCCAGTGGCACAGCCCCTGATGTCCACATGATGTTGTGAAGGTGTGTCAACCAAGACAGCCCCACAACATCCAGTCTTAAGGAAATCATGGCGGATTTTATCCACCCCCAGGGCCCTGCCACCACTGAGCTTTTTAAACTACCTTGGTGACCTCAGCTACAATTATGGACAGATCATCTCCAAAGTCCCCCTACACAGCTTCCTCCATGGAAAATGTCCAGGTGGGATTGAAAAGATCCAAGAAGTATTCCTTCCACCGCCAGACAATATCACTGGTTAAGGTCAACAGCGCCCCACATTCAATGAACACAGTGTTAGTAAAGTGTTGCTTTTCCCTCCTCAGCTGCCTGATGGTTTGCCAGAGTCTCCTTGGAGCCAAACGAGAGTCTCTATCCAAGACCTCACTGAACTCCTTTCACATCTGAGCTTTTTCCTCAGCAACAACCAAGGCAGCATCCCTCCATAGCCCTCTGGTACTCTTCAGCTGCCTCCAGAGACCCAGCAGCCAACAAGGCCCGATAGGACTCCTTCAGCTTGACAGCCTCCCTTACCCTGGGTGCTCACCACTGAGTTCGAGGATGGCCACTGTGAGAAGCACAGACAACCTTGCGGCCACAGCTCAAGGCAGCCGCCTCAACAATTGAGGCATGGAACATGGCTCACTCAGACTCAATATCCCCCACTTCAGCTGGGGTGCAGTTAAAGCAGTCCCAGAGGTGTGAGTTGAAGATCTCTCTGACAAGTTCTTCTGCCAGGCATTTCCAGCAAACCCTCACCACATGTTTTGGGCTGTCCGGCATTCCTCCCCGCCATCTGATCCAACTCACTATCAGATGGTGATCAGTTGACAGCTCAGCTCCCTTTTCACAACAAGAACAAGATACCCAGATCTTTGAATTCATCCACCTGAAGGAAAAACTCAATCCCAACCCAGAGGGAGCATTCCATCTTTTTCCATTTGAGGACCAGGGCCTCAGACTTCGAGGAGCTGACTCTTACCCCAGCCGCTTCAAACCATCCCAGTGCTTCAGCAGACACTGAAGGTTGTGGCCTGGAGAGGTGAACAGAACCACATCATCCACTTAAAACGAGACCCTGAGGTTCCCAAACCAGACACCCTCCTCTCCACATCTGCATCTTACGTCATTTCCATGAACACTACAAACAGGATTGAGACAAGGGACAGCTCTGGTAGAGTCCAACACACGTTGAGAATGGGCTTGACTTTCTGCTAATGTGGACACAGCTCCTGCTTTGGTCATCCAGGGACCGGATAGGCTTTCAAAGCAACCCTGACTCCTGCATCAAACTCCACAGAATGTCTCAAAGAATATGGTCATAAGTCCTCTCCAGGTCCACAAAACCCATGTAGACTGGAGAGGCAAACTCCCATGACCCCTTTAGAAACAGCAGGTCTGGAAGAACCTCTTATTGCTAAGAACAAAACAAAACTTGGCAAAAACATCATCCATTCAAAACAAGTTTATTTTTGTGAAAATATGATTGTGTTTTATTTGTGTTTGTGTGTTCTTACCATATTTAGCAGCTTTGGCCGCCTGAGAGTACTGCCCACCTCCTGGCACTCCTCCTCCTCCTACTCCCAGTTCTGTTCCAGCACCTCCTGAAACTCCTGAGTAAAATAACAAAGTTATTTGTTGGCACTGAGATTTAAAAAAAAATGTATTAGATGAGAAATTTTATACTGACTGAGCTGTAGAAGTAGTTTGATCCAAACTAAATGTTGCTGATTGTTTATTATTTATGTTTGTATTTTCTTACCGTATTTAGCAGCTTTTGCAGCTGGAAAGTATTGTCCACCTCCTGGTACTACTACTCCTCCTGCTCCCGGTCTTGTTCCAGCACCTCCAATAACTCCTGAAAACAAAAACAGGTTTTAATATTAATTTGTATATAATTACATAAAAAGATACACAAAGTGAGAACTTAATTTGAACATTTAATCACAATAAGTTTATCTTAATGGAAATGTTGCTGGTTGTGTGTTATTTACCATATTTAGCTGCTTTTGCAGCCGGGGAGTATTGTCCAACTCCTGGAACAAAAGGCACTGCTCCTGCTCCTCCTCCTCCCAGTGCTCCGTATCCTAACCCAGCTCCAGTTCCTCCTGAAACTCCTGTTACAGGTTGAGAGAGATGGCTGCAACATTACTTCATTGTCAGCAAAATTTTGTGAATTAAAGAAGTTACAACACAACAAAATGCATTTTAGATGAGAATGAATTAGCCCGGATGGCACGGTGGATCAGCTGGCAGAGCTGTTGCCTCTCAACGAGAAAGGCGTCAGATCAAATCTCAGCTGGGGACTTTTCTGGGTGGAGTTTGTATGTTATCTCCGCGCATGTGTGGGTTTTCTCCAGGTACTCCAGTTTCCTCCCACAGGCCAAAAACATGCATGTCAGGCTGATTGGTAACTCTAAATTGTCCCTAGGTGTGAGTGAGAGAGTGAATGGTTGTTTGAGACCTGTTCAGGATATCCCCCGCCTCGTGCACAGTGACTGCTTGATACCAGTGACCCGGAAAGGAAGAAGCGGGTAAAAGATAATGGATGGATAAGATTGCTCATGTAATATTTTACAATGCAGCAGTATCAAAATGACACCAGATAATCCTGTTAGAGCTACTTCTTGTGCTAACTGTGCACACAACTTCAGTTCCTCTGAACTCCCTGGTGTGAGGCCCAGTTAAGAGACAGTGATTCACCTCATTCTTTAAAATATTCTGAACGAAAATGAAATTAAATATTCTCACCAAACTTTGGAGGTTTGCTTCCAGCACCACCCCCATAAGCTGCAAAATATGTAGAGAATTTGTTAAATTATAACAATCTGAACATGTGAAATGGTGTTGCTCTTCTTTAATACTACTTACCACCGTAACCACCTGGCAAAACCTGTCCTCCTCCTCCTGGGAATCCACCTCCTCCGAGGCCTGTCTGTGGGGCTGTCGTTTGAAGCAAATATCATCTCATGACATTTTCTTATTATTTTAGTTTGCAAAACAAATACCATTTATCATTGTGCTCAGGGTGTTTACCGAACTGTGATTTTAAAAAAAGATTTCCTAAAATGTTACATTGAACATGTAATGTTTCCAGAAACAGTTTTACAGCCCATCATTATCGAAGTCTCACCATATTTAGGAGGTTTGGCTCCAGCTGCTAAAGCTGCAACAGCAAAAGGAGGAAAATAGTTTAAAAAAATGATCCAAGAGTTTGACAAAAAAAATAAATAATCATATTTCCATAGCTCAGGTGGATTCAGCATCTTACTTACATCCATATCCTGGGAGGTGTTGTGTTCCTGGAATCCCTCCTCCACCTCCTCCACCTCCTTGGACCACACCTAAAGAAGAAAATGGTAATAATTCAGAGTTTCTTCCCAATTATTATGTTTACAGATCTAATTTTTATCACCATATTTAGCAGCTTTAGCAGCAGCAGCAGCAGGATATCCGCCACCTCCCAGACCTCCTGCTCCTCCGAGTCCTCCTACACCCCCCAGACCTCCTGCTCCTCCAAGTCCTCCTACTCCTCCTAGACCTGCTCCTCCCAGTCCCCCTACTTGTCCCAGACCTCCTGCTCCACCCAGTCCTGGTACTCCTTTAAAAAAAGCAAATTAAGTTAATATCTTGTCATAGTAAATAAAAATTTTAACCTGAAATAATTGTGTTTGTATTAAACAACAGAGAACAACAGGTGGTGTTTGTACCATAACTTACTCAAGAAAACTAACGCCATCTTTCATGTGTAAATCACAGAAACACATATGTGAATAGCTTCTTCACATCCAGTGAGCCCATATTCTAATTTGTTATCAAAGCTGCGGTGGGTGTGGTTTTTCTGAAAACAATGTAAAATTGTACTGGAGGTTAAGGAGCATTAAGTGTAGAACCACTAGACTGAGGAACAGCTTCTACCCTGAGGCTGTTAGACTCATGAATCTCTAACTAGAATAATCACTGTGAAAAAACATATCATGTTGCTGCTGATCTGTTTCATGTTGCTGCTGATCTGTTTCAATGTTGATGTGTTCATGCGTGCACATCTGCTCACAGACTCATGTTCATGTTTGTGCTGATGTTCAATGTTTTATGTTATGAGTGCTTAGTGTATATTTAGTTGATGTTTTTCTTAGTTCATATCTTAGATGTTATTACTGTTTTTCTTAGACATTTTATTGTTGGATGTAACTGGGACCCCGTGTACATAATTTCGCTCCACCACATGTACCACATGAGGTGCGAATGACAATAAAGAAACTTTGACTCTGACTCTGACTTTAACAATTAACAATGAAAAACCTCTAAAACTAACAACACCACTGCATTATTTTTCCAGTTTTCTGCTTTTTAACTACTTGCCATACATTTCTGTGGTGCCAGAGACCCCAGCTGACCCACAGACATGGGGAGACAAGCTGTAAGGTTTGATCAAGTTAAGTTCTATTTACCATACTTAGCAGCTTTGGCAGCAGCAGGGTTGTACCCCCCTGCGCCTCCTTGTCCTCCTGGTACAACTCCACCTCCTATGGTTCCAGATCCCCCAACTCCTATGGAAAACAGAACAATCTACCATAAAGTCAAAGCTTGTTGAGAATAAATACAGTTTACCCCCAAAGTGCAAACTATTAACAAACCAAAAGCCTGTTTAGATTTTGCAGACAAAAGAAGACGTAGAATAAAACCATCCTAAAAAGGCCAGAGCAGAATTCTTGAGATGAAAGAAAAAGACTAATCCGCTCCAGATTGATGAAGAGGAACAAAGAATGCAGAAGACTTTGTGCAGCTCATAATTTAAAGTCATCGTTTGTGAATGCAATAACATGTTCCAACTTCCATTACTGTTAAAGGGTAGCAGCAGACAGAATCAGCCTAATAAAATGCACCCACTGGTGTAAAGATATGGTTACTAAATTGAACTAATGGCAATAAAAAACAGATTTGATGTTTTAGGGAGCAGATGAACAAAGACCCATGTGCTTATAAAGCTCATCTTTAACCAGCAAACAAAAAGAGATCTTTTAGATGCTTAATTTATTATGTAATTTTTGCTCACAGATAGAATATCAGTGTCTTACACTTAGCACTTAGATCCAAAACTGAAGAACTTGAACCACAAAATTTACAAAATATGTTTGTGTGGATTTGATGCTGCTGAGGAGAGGTTGTTGTGCTGCTCACAAGTTCCGATTGTCTGAAAAACCTTCGGTCTGCAGCGTTTTAAGATCGCATAGAACCTCAGCTGAGGTTGTATCAAAAATGGCACGAGACTACAGATGAGTTGTGCAAACAACAGCAATTAGCAATCATAAAAAATAGTTTTGAGTATGGCTAAAATAATTTAAACAATAAACCATTATATATTAAAATATATCTAAATAATTAGAATAGGTTCTCCATGGAAAAACAATAAATCCACACATGGAACTATGAAAATCTCATGAAAGTGTGGTTTACTAAGGAGTGACATTGGACTGAGACTAGTACTAAAACACTTGATTTTAAGATATAGAAAACTTTTCTGTCATTCTTCTTCTTTGTGCTGCGCAAAAGTGTCTAGCTAATGAGGGTAATGTAGTCTTTTGTGTTCCACAATCTAAGCACTGACGCTGATGAATCCACACAACTCAGTCCTAACATATTGTGCAAACTGCGAATAAACCCTGTAACCATTAGAAAAGACGAAAAGTGCATGAGAAATACTGTTTCTGTAATTGTTTCTTTCTGTATAAAGGGTGTGAGATGAAGTTATACACTGTACCATATTTAGCAGCTTTGGCTGCTTGATAATATCCTCCTGGTAACTGTGCTCCTCCTCCTGGAACTGCAATCGGTGCACCTCCTGGCAGAACTCCGGGGACGACTCCTGTCCAGGAAAAAAAAAACATATTAATTTGTGCAATTATCATTATACAATTCTTTATTGTTGAGTTACTTTTTTCTCTTTTAATGATTAATTGTACATTGTGGAAAAAGCAACAGCCTAGTAACAGCTTTATTTTGAAAACTCTTCTCACCATATTTGGCAGCCTTGGACCCAGCTCCAAAACCTGAAGTTAAAACATGCAGATCTGTGAGAATGCATAAACTAGCAGACAGAATCTAAGAACAACAAAAAAAAAAAAATGTTTTCATATCTGACTAACAGGGACCTGTGCTGGCAAAATGAGTCACAATGAGGATTTTTGTCTAGATTAAGATATCATTTTTTAATTCTCCTTCTCAAAAGCTTCAAAATGATACAGTTTGTTGAAATCTGGCAATTTATCCCCATGATTGACAACAAGCTTGTTTAAAAGACTGCAGGTTTGAAAATTTGATGTTTACTGGAATAGAATGATGTCAAGAATTTCAGCCTATATTTAACAAGAGTACCACACATGGCTCATTACACGCCCGTCAACAAATGGTATACAGCAATACAGCAATTTATAGCAATGGCCCAGAAGCTGGGAGGTGACAAATATATACCACACTCCAACTAGTGATGATGCATATGTGTCTGAAGTTTGGTTAAATTATCTTGAGAGGATCAGGAGTTATGGGTCCGAGACAAGAAAGTTTGGGGTGTATGTATATGTATTTTTTTTCATAGATAGCCTCCCTTCTCCCCTTACAGCCATTCTCTCTACACCATTATTATGAAATATTTATTCTAGTGATTATCTAGTGTAGGTTTTTTTTTTTTTGGGGTGTACGTATATGTATTAATACATTCCACCTTTGATGGGCGTATAAAAAGGGGATTCCTCAAGAAACACAAAGATGCCAGACATTATACAGAGGGGTTTCCTGATGCAGAGAAAATGGTCAATTTAAGACAGTAAGTGTTATAAGAAATTATTTCTGAAGACAAACCTGTTTTAAAAAAGACTTGATTTAAAGGTAGATTAAGAAGACTTTATGCTATTATAAATATCAGTATTGTTAAATGATGTATTTATAGAATTTTTATATGCAAATCTCATTTGGGGCAAAAATTAAATAGTTTCACTTTTTGCACTGCAGCCTCTACATTCTGACTCATTTTAACAACATAGGTCACATTTATATCATTTAGTGCCTGATTTCATGGCACTGTAGTTATGGCTCTGTTCAGAAACTATCTAGTTCTATAATTTTGTGTTTAATGTCCTCAATGACTTTACCTCCTTGTACCTGCCCTGGGTACAGTCCACCACCAACTCCTCCAACACCACCAACTCCTCCAACACCACCAACGCCTCCAACACCACCAACGCCTCCAACACCACCAATTCCTCCAACACCACCAATTCCTCCAACACCACCAATTCCTCCAAATCCACCGCCTCCAAGTCCTCCAGTGGCACCAACACCTCCAACACCACCAATGCCTCCAACACCTCCACCAGCACCTGAAGCAGCAAACACAATCTTAAGTCTTGCATTATGGTTACTGATGTCATACAATCTTTAAAATGTTTTTCTTGATTAAAACAAAAACAATATTTTCCCAAATAGTCTCTATTTTACCATATTTGCCAGGCTTATCTTGACCAGGTGAGATGCCCCCTGACCCTACACCTGCAAAATGCAAAAAGAGAGAAAAGCAATTTGTAGTGCTTTTTGCTTCACACAATTAAACAGTACTTAAAAAAATAATAATACATCCACCAGTTCCAACAGGATAACCAGGTCTTGACCCAGAACCTCCTAGTCCTCCTGGAAGTCCAGATCCACCAGTGCCAAAGCCCCCGTAACCTGAAAAAAACATTATTGTGGACTTGATATTAATGTCAAGTTTTCTACTGGTTTCAATTCTTATTTAAAATTCTAAAAATGAAAATGTCAATACCAAATGGAAGTTTTCCCCCTCCAGGTTTAGCTCCATAGCCTCCTAAAGAAAAAAAAAAGGATTAAATAATTCTTAAGCACATTCATGTACAGTAAAATGCTAAAATAATAGGAATAAAAATCATGTGCATATGGTTAGTGACTCACATGGCTGCTTAAACTTCAAAGTATTTAGACAAAAGGTGGATATTTTGAAGTTACGCAAAAAAAAAAAAAAGAAGCGTCTCAGTTTGTTGTTTTTTGTGTTTCTCATCTCTGGTCTTCAGAATAAACCTAACTATTACTGTATGCATTTTTGTTCTGAAAATATTTGTCTTTCAAAACCATAATAAAAAGTCAGAGAGTCTGCTCAGGAGTTCACATCGCTGAAACTATTTGATTAATCAAAACCAAATTGAGTCCTTGAACTCTGGCCCATTCTGAAGAAAACCAAACTGAAATTTTGCAACTAAAACCTACCAGCTGTTTTCTCTGCAACTGTTGATGTAAATGCATAAATTGCTCCGTACCTCTTAATACCATGATTGGAATCACCACCTTATCGTGTTGGAGGAGTTTGGGTGGGCAAATGATCCTAGCAGCTATGCTGTGGAGGCAACTGTCCCTGTTAGAGTCTCTCAAGGCAGATTGGTCCCAGATGACAGGCCAGACAAAGAGTGATTGAGAACACTCGTAAGGACAGAGGACAGCAAGGCGTTCAATATCCATTGCCCGGATGTGGGTTACCGAGGCCCCTCCCTGGAGCCAAACCTGGGAGAGGGGCTCATCAGTGAGCACCTGCTGACTGGGTCTCTACCCATGGGGCCCTGTCAGGCTTAGGCCCGGATAAGTAACATGGGTTTGCCTTCCTGTGGGCCCACCACCTGCAAGAGGGGCCCTACGAGTTGGGTGCATAGTGTTAGCGGTAGGTGACTGACATTGGCTTTCCAAAGTTGGCTCTTGGGACGTGGAATGTCACTTCTCTGGCAGAGAAGGAGCCTGAGCTTGTGTGTGAGGCTGACAGGTATCAATTACATATAGTTGGCCACACCTTGACGCACAACATGGGCTCTGGCTATCATGGTTTCAACTCACACCTACGAGAAAACTTTAAACACGTCCCTGCAGAGATGGGGACATTGAGTCTGTGTGGGCCAAATTTCATGCCTCTAGTTGCCTTGAACTGTGGCTGCAATGTTGTTGGTGCTTTTCACGGCAACCATCCTTGAACTTAGGGATAGACACCCCGGATTAGGGAGGCCGTCAAACTGAAGAAGGAGTCCTATCGGGCGTTGTTGGCTGGTAGGACTCTGGAGTCAGGTAAGGAGTATTACAGGGCCAAGTGGGCTGCAGCACTGGCTGTTGCAGAGGCAAAATCTTGGATGTGGGAGGGGTTTGGTGATGCCTTGGATACAGACTGTCGATTAGCTGTGAGGAGATTCTGGCAAACCATCAGGTGGCTCAGGCAGGGAAAGCAGCACTTTACTAACACTGTGTTTACTGAAGGTGGGGTGCTGTTGACCTCAACCAGTGATGTTGTCATGTGGTGGAAGCAATATATCTCGGACCTTCTCAATCCCACCAACATGTCTTCCATGGAGGAAGTGGAGTCAGGGGTCTGGGGGTTTGGTCCATTCATCATCAAGGGTGAGGTCGCTGAGGTAGTTAAAAAAACATTCCTCTGCAGCAGGGCTCCGGGGGTATATAAGATCCAAGCTGAGTAAAGGCTCTGGATGTTGCAGGGCAGTCTTGGTTGACGCCTTTGCAACATTGTGTGGACATCAGGATCAGTCCCACTGGATTTGCACACTAGGGTGGTAATTCCCCTTTTCAAAAAGGGGGACTGGAGGGTCTATTTCAATCACAGGGTCATCACTCGTGAGTTTGAAGTTACTAGGATGATCAGCACCTCCAAGTCTGAGGCCATGGTCCTCAGCCAGAAAAGTGTGGCTTGCCCTCTCTGGGTTGGGAGTGAGCAGTGAGGTGCTGTCTTGAGTAGAGGAATTCAAGTATTTCTGGGTTTTATTCAGGGCTTAATTTGTAAGCCAATTGATGCCGGAACACAAATAGCAGGCGGACCAGCAGGGGGGGGGGGGGGGCCTGGGGGTCCTCCTCCAGAAAATTTGGAATAAAAGTGATGCCAATTCCTACATTTTGGTGTATTTTAACCAGATGTAACATTGTAAACATTTGATTAAAGTGACTTAAAACAAGTCTCTACTGTAAATGAGTCCTTGAGGCTCAATGAGACTAACAACCTGTATAAATAAAGGTTGAATTGAAATTACTAGTTTAGAGAGCAGCAGTGACTAGAGCACCTCTGATTCTGTCAAGCATCCTACCCCCCCCCCCCCCCACACACACACACACTTCACTGTCCAAACTCTTCTCAGCTGAATTCAGTCCTGCACGTTGTTCTGCTCCAATCTTGATTACCACTGCCTTCAGGTGCTTCAATTTGTGGTTGTCCAGCTAAGGACAGTCCATCCATCCATCACTTTATTTTGTGAAAGTAAATTGACATTTTGATAGCTGTTATTTTGACAAATTCGTGCTGTTGTTTTGAAATGTGATGTAATGTTAATACTCATCAAACATTTCACTCGTATTTTTTTTTTACTGTAAGCTTTTTTATTTATTATCTCTGAAATGTTATGCACCGTGTTAATATATGCAGAAGTTCTGACACATCAGCAGTTGTGGGCGCGTCCTGTAGAGTTGTCTTGAGAAGCTCCTGTGTGTAAAACATGCATTGTCTGCAGGGAGCTGGGTGAAGCTGACACACCTAACTTCTGCAGGGCACCCAGCTGAAGGTGGATGAAGAGGCTCATCCCCGCGGGACATGCGGTCCGCATTTCTTTTTGGCAGGAGCGTGTGCACGAGCTGGTGCGCATAGTACGGCTGGAACATCCACTCCACAGACTGGGTAACATCTCTCCTCTTGTATTTTTAATAAATAATCAAAATTAAAATATGCAATGACTTTGGACTTTTATGGGCAGAGATTTGAGTTGTCGGATCCGAGGAAACAGTTGCCGGAACACACCAGGTCTAAATGAGAGAGTTCCCAGATCTTGTTCTGGCAGGATCCGGCTCAAAATAATCACTGGTTTTATTCATAAGTAAGGGAAAAATAGAGCATGAGAGTCACAGATAGATCAGTGCAGTTTCTGTAGTATTGTGGACTCTGTGCTGGTCCATTGTGGTGAAGAGGAAGCTGAGCAGTAAGTCAAACTAAGTTCCTAACCTCACCTATGCTTAAAAACTTTGGGTAGTGATTGAAAGAACGAGATTGCTAATACAGGCGGTTGAAATGAGGATATTAGTTTTCGCTAGGATAGTTGGACTCTCCCTTAGAGATAGGATGAGAAGTTCAGTCATCTGGGAAAGACTCTGAATGCTGATATTCTTCCACAGTGAGTGGAGCCAGTTGAGGTAGTTTGGGCATCTGGTAAAAATGCACCACTAGGGACCCCCCCTAGGGAGGCACTCTGGGCATGTTTGATTGGGAGGAGACCCTGGAGAAGACCTAGAACACCCTAGACAGACTTTGTCTCTCAGCTTGCCTGGGAATGCCTTGGAATACTTCAGAAGAGCTGGTAGAGGTGGCTGTGGAAAGAGATGTCTTGGTCTTCCTGCTTAAGCTGCTGCCCTCGCCACCCGACTCCGGAACAAGTGGAAGATACTGGGTGGATGGATGGATGGATAGATGGATGGATGAGTGGATGGATGGATGGATGGTCCAGTTTCTTGACTGTACTCTCAGCTCTCCAAGTTGTCTTCAAGTTTGTTTTATCCATTTATTGTAAAGCTTCCAAATAACTCATTCCTACAGGTCATCTCCAATTTTCCACACTGACCAAGAATAAGAGTTTGGGTTTGAGAGGGATTATAATTCATTTGATGACTGCTGAAGTGCTGTACCTACAGAGCCTCTTCTATGTCCTTTACATGGGTTTTCTTCAACAAATAGGACAGTTTAAATTGTAGTTTTTGAAACAAAGGGTACAAAATAGCAGCTTGATCTAATTTAGGTGCCAGAAGTGTAAAAATAAATAAACAGTTTCACACATTTTCTCCTGAGAGCCCAAAGTTTGTTCATGTGAATATTGATGTTGGTAGATCATCCACTTTGAAATGCTCCTTCTATAAGATAAAATGTTGGCAATGATTGACCTGCACCAGTACAGGCACCAAATCTAACACAGAAAATGTTTTACCGTGTTTAGGTACAAACTGACAAGCTGAGTAAGACAATATACTGGGCTGGCTGTGACATCAATTTTTTGTAATAATTATGAATGCATTTTTGGAAAGATTATATTAATAACAACAAAAAAAGTTAAATCATGTCACATGGACCAGTTGCGTATTGCAAAATAAAAAGTCATGCTGCTGAGGTGAACAGTAGAGATATTTGCATGTGCAGTAAAAAAAAAAAGTGACGACGAAGGGGAACACCTGCATGTTAATGTTGCTACAGGACTAATACAGAATGTTTCCTTGGATTATTTTAAGTCGATATCAGAGAAAAACACCAAGAGTCAAAGTTCAAATAATGTTTCAAAAAAACAAAGACCAGGGAACTCCCCTTTTTAAAAAGTTCCCCTTTGATGTCACTTCCTGTTTCCCTCTGGCTACATCAAACTCATCTGCAGATATACCAGTTATGTGACAAAATGGGTAAAATCATGTGTATTATGCAAAATTCTTAAACATTAATATGTTGTCATCCACTTTTTTTGTAGAAATTGCATGTCACAGACACTTAAATGTTGATAAAAGTCAGTTATGATAAAATGCAGTATCTTAAAAACTTCTACATGACAAGTTTGCTGTAAAGACTCACCCTGAACTTTGGGGGATTTGAGCGGATAACCATGGAAGACCCCTGGCTGCATCAGACCACCAAACCCAGGCCCTCCTATGGCCAAAAATCAGTTTAGTTCCTCATCAATTAACCTTAATAATTTTATGATTATCTAAAAATCTTTGTAAACAAACAAAAAATATCAGTAAAGTTAACCTTGACTTCCTTGCTGTGCTCCAACTAAAGAGAGAAAATAAATTGAATTAAATTAAATTAAATTCAGTCAAAAACAATTGAAAACGTGCATTTTATTGTGAACGTTGACCATAATATCAACACATCAAACTGTTAGTAAAAATCTCAGTACCAATATGGTTGTCTGACTTTACATTTAGAAAAAAAACTAAAAATCAACAACATTTTATTTTTACTTTTATAAAAATCAATGACCCCGTAGTTCTGTTTTTATAATTAGTTTTGAAGGGACGGTCTACTTCAATCTAAGGAACTAGATTATGGAATAATCTGGAGAGTGATGTTAAAAATGCCAGATCAATGCATATGTTTAAGAGAATGATCAAAGTTGATTTGTTAAAAAAAAAATGAAATAGTTTAATGTGTATTTGTATGAATTGTTGCTCGAGAAGGAGTTATTTATTTTGTTTTTGTTATTTGAAGATTATTGTTATTATTATTATTAGATTTATTTTATTTATTTATTCATTTATTTTATTTTATTTATTTTATTTATTTATTATTATTAGATTATTATTGTTTGAGTATTTTTTTTTTTGGTAAAAAGGGGCAGATATAAGATATTTTTCTTCTTTCTGCTACCTTTCATTTTATTTGCGATTGTATTTTTTTATTGTATATAGAATTGTTTTGTCTTTTAAAAATGAATAAACTTTATAATATAATAATAATAATAATAATAATGTTTTTGCTTTAAAAAAAAAACAAAAAAAAAAACTTTTTTCCTCCATGAAGCTCAAGTTAAAGAACATCTCTTTTGTGTAAAGCAAATTTTTTTTTTCTTTTTAATTTTCCATATGGATGTACAGATTTATAAGGGGGGGGGGGGGGACGACAAACAAACATGCAAACAAAATAAAAAGCGTACTTGATTTGGGGTTTAAGTTAGTTCCAGTGGCTACTCCTGGTAAAACTCCACGTCCACTGAACCCTGAAGTTGTCACAAGCAACAGGAAAGAATTACGTGCAACAAAAGCACTAAAGCAGTGCACAAACACTAATCGCATAGTGAAAGTAAGACGCATTGCAACAAATAATTCATGAGACTGATCTCAGACCTTGTCCTGGCACAAGTCCGGGGATACCCGCACCTGAAACGTCAAAACCAGAGGTCAAAGGGTTATTTTATTCACATAAAGAAATATGAAAGCAGGTTCTGTTTGTTTTTACGTGCATGAAAATGTTGATCTGACAACCAGTAAAAAGCTGACAAAATGAATTAAGATATCTGTAAACTTATTTACTGGACTAATGTTTCCTTAATTGATGCCACAATCAGTTGTATCTTCATCAGAGGAGGACACTTTCTACAGTTATTCTTGTTCTGCATCCTCTTTACTTCATCAGAGTCCTCAGAAAGCCTCATGTTTTATAGCTTTACCTTGGAGGAAATGTTAGGAACTGCAGTAGTCCTGTCTTATGACCCTGAGGTTTCAGGTTCGGTTCCAGGTGGCGTCAGGATGGGCATCCAGCATAATTATTTTTTGCCAAATTGTTTTTATTTGCGTTTGCTCGCAACATAGTAAATCCTGCAGAAGGGAGAAGCCTAAAGGGCCCTCATTTTTGGAAAAGTTGATAAAAAGCATTTTTTGTTTTCTAGTACTTGTTTGCACCACATTCCTGCTTTTGCTCTTCTGTTTATACTAAATATGTCCAGTTTAAGGATCATATTCTGCATTTTTTGCCGTTTTCCACCAATACCAGGCACAACTTACTTGTGCTGTTTAAATTAATTAAACATTTATGTCGTGCATCGAGCGGTGCATCATTGGTGAAATTCTTTTTCAAGCTAATATTAATGCTACAAAAAGAAAATTCCCAGGAAATAATTATCAGAATTTATTTCTCACTTTATTTTATTTTCTGTTGTTCTACTGTATAAGTAGAAACATAATACTGTAGTCATGTTTAGGAGTTTTAAAGTTTTAACATGCAGCTTTAGAAAACCACAAGGTGTCACTAAAGTAGTAGAATAAAAGCTCTAAACCCTTTAAACTGTTGAATGTTGTCTAAAAAAATATACTTCTTTCTAGTTTAGATTTTTTTAATCAAACATAAGAAGCCAAACTATGGCGTGAAGCATATTGTATAAAATCTACTGAATGTTTTCATTATTTTATTAGCGATTTAGAATATTTTGTTGATTACTGCCAGATGAAACACTTTTCAGATTAAATAAGAACTTGTCTTTAACGTGGCTCAGCTGCCTCAGTCTCTGTGTTCTGTCTGTCGTCGGCCTCCTGAGTTTATTGTTGAGTCTACCAAACCTGGCACTTTGGCTGCTTTTTTCCCTGCCGTCCCTCTTGGAAGACCTGTCTGAGGAATAACAGGTGCTGTAAAATAAAAAATAAAAGTTAAAACCATTTAATGTTACTTGGCTCATTAAAAAGGACTTTGACAAATGCCCTGGGCAAAAAAAAAACAACAAAAAAAGTATTTCTTTGAAAAGTGATGAGTTGAAAAGTATCCTAACTATAATTTATACTTGCAGAGGATGCTAAAAGTCAAAACAACTGTCTTATGAGTTAAATTAGGAAATACTTTTTTACATAAAATGTACTTTCTTTTAAATAAACAAGATTATCATGTAACTGAGATAGTGTGAGTGTAGGGATGAAAGTAAAATATGAAAAACAAGAGATGATGACGTCTTGCCTCGTCCATTCACTGGAAGTCCAGTTCCGGTGCCGTCTGGTCCTCCTATGGTTCCGGGCACTAAGTGTACACAAAAATCACAGGTATTAACATGCAGGGATGCTTGAGCTCTGACCAGTAGGAGTGATCCTGAACAGCAGGTGTTTCAGAGCCACTAACTGATTTCTGATGAGTGAGCCCACCAGTCTGTCAGCGCTCCACGGTTGATGTTTGATCAGAAGCAGCAGGCCTATCGTTTACCTCCCTGCTTTAGCTTTCTCTTGACACAGGAAACAACTTGCTTACTTTAATCTTTTTTTAAATTTCATTTTTTTAATTCCCAACACTTAGACAGACGTTGCGCACCTCTTGTAAATATGCGGTCTGGAAGACTTGGTGAGACAAAGTTTGGCAAAAGAATGCATTTTTAAATTTTTTTTAATCTGTGCTGTTTCAAAGAAACGAGTTGTTATTTTAAGTGTCATGAAAGAAACATTGACTGATTCCAGGGACTGATGTCTTGTCCCTGCCAACCAATACTTAAGCGCAGGCTCTTTGCCATTTTACAGTCCTGGACATGATTGAGGCCCCCTGAGCTCAGATTTAATCAGTCCGTCTAATTTAAATCAAATGATGAGCACAGACGGCCCTGATTTTAAGGTCAAACTGGGCTCTGCTGAGGTTCAAACTGTCTAAGGTTTACAAGTGGACGATAAAAATCTGCATGTCTGCCAAAAAGTGTTTTTGCAAACGGAGCTACCATTAATGCAAAGCATTCATTTTGGCTTTCTCGTACCATGCGAGCTTGTAGATTTATCATAAGTCTGAGTATGGGTCTGTCAGCACAGTCTGAAGCCTGTGCAGCAGCTTGTCCAAGGACCAGAAACAAAGCTATCTCCTTCTGGTACCAGAGGGCCTCCTGCAGCTCGAAGCTGCAGCTGGATGTCAGCATCACCAGTTTAAAACGGCCAACGTGTCACTTATTTCTGTCGTTTCTGCACCGCTGAGGCGAACAACTGCACCCAATCTGAGCCAGGCATCGGACTGGATGAATATTTATTCAAACTGTATTCACTTCTATAAACCAGCAGTGAAACAGAAACGAGGGTGAGTGGAGCAGGACCACAGCTCACTCGGGGTTAGAGGGCGACAATGTTTTTGGTCCTGAAACAGACTTTAAAATGTTTCATCTTGCCAGAAGTGTTTCACAACATCGGCACCAGAAGACATTAATTTTGAGAATATTTATGCATCAAATTCCCCAACTGTGAGAAGAATTAGACAAAATATCGCCACAGCAATTAAAACAAACAGAAAAGAAGCGAGCAAAGCATAAACAGTGTCTGGTTCCAATAACAAACACTCATCTTTCTGTTTAATAACCTCCATGTTTCATGAAACCCATTGAGATTTCTGCACGGACAGTGGTCTCTGAAGGAATGCTGAACCAATAACAGACTCCTCTCCTTTATAGGAAACCACTGTCTTATTTCTGTTCAAGCTGTACCTCTTTTGGCAGCTTTTTGTCCAGCGCCAGGGTAAAAGCCCCCACCGCCAGCACCATATCCACCGTAAACACCTACAAGACACAAAGAATTAAAGAAAACAGTCTGAGCTGACGATGTAGCACTGAGTCGAGGGTCAAGCGTCAAACACCCACCTCCTCCAGCTCCTAGATTTCCATAACCTGAACAAGAAAAGAGGAAAAAAGCAAAGTAAAAGGAAAGTCACAGAAAATGATTCTGTTTGGTTTGGATGAGATTTAAACACTGGAGGGAGCAGTCAGATTATATGGACTTAAAAAAATATCTGTGCTAATCTCTGGGCATCAAAAGCTTTGACTTCACTTGAAGAATCAATTAATTCAAATCTCAGCTTGTGTTTCAGCTTGATGATGAGATGAAAACATGTGAGAGGAATATACGGAAATGGAAAAAGTGTGGCGAAGGAGGAGAACATGAACATAAAACGCTCAAAGTGCTTTGTGACCGAAAGGCTCTGGAATAGAAGCTCTCTGAACTCGCCAAAGTTTGGGATAGCGTCAGAAAATAATAAACTCGATTTTGTTTTATCACGTGTTTATGAGTGTTGAAAAAAAATACTAAAAAAACTACATGCCACATGTCTAAAATGCCGTCAAATATAAAAGAATAGGAAAAGGCACGCGATAATCAAAATCCAATCGTTTAAAATAAAGAAAATATGTAGATTAATTCTTTTGAACCTATTTCCAGAAATCTGCCGAAATGATAACTCTTTATTTTATAAAAATTATTGTTTTTTTTAAACGTTTGAACAAAATCAGAACATTTCTCAACGTTGAACTAAAAGAAGCCGTAAAAACATGTTACTCCATCTGAGACGAACCGGTTGAAGTAATGGATGTTTCAGACAAAAGTCAAACGTTGCCAGCGAGCTTGTCCACTAAGGAATTTACTTTAATCAAGAAAAGACCAAAAAAAAAAAAAAAACTGGTTGAGAACAGCTGTGGATCAGAAAGAAGACCATGAGACAGAGACCAGCAGAAATCAGGCTGCCGTCGGTCCAACAACCTGCAGGGTGCAGCTAGTGATGTATGCGATGAAGACGAGGAGTAATGGGCGCGGTGAGATGGGGAGAAAGATCAAGTGTGGAGTTTCAGGATCTTTATTAAACAAATGTGGGCACAGGTCTCGTTGAGGCCTCAGCAACACGCAGGGCACGCTGCGCGAGCCCAGACGACAAGCTCTGCATCTTTGTGATTATCCCTTTGATTGCTCAACCACTGGCAGGTGGTAAAAATAAGTGAAATCATTTGCTGCATAAATCAAATTGAAAGGGCGTTTCCTTCACCACTCTCTCTTATGATACGAGGACTCTGCCTCATTTGTTTCAGTCTCATCAGTGAGAAACACATCCCTTCAAACTGTTAGGTAACAAAGTACATTTGTACAAAGTACAATATATGTAGTGTTAGTTATGTGCAAAATATATTATGTGCATTACCTGTGAAATACTTAATCATATGAATTCATCCTGTACTTGCGCCATTATATTCTACAATGTTGTTGTTTACTATATTTCTTTTGGACCTTGTAAATATTATATTTCTTTTCCATTTTTTGGTACTTTATTTTGTACCCTTATTGCATGATTTAGTATTTCTTGTTTGTTTTTTAGTTTATAGCGATTCAAGTCGGTTCTTCTCATCCTGAACATTTCATTGCACTGTTGACCTTGTGTTAACCTGCATATGACAAATAAAATGAGATAAGATAGAACGTTAATGATCCCAACATAACTAAACTTTGTGTACAAGTTCTACAGAAACATTTCTGATGCTCAAAACCAGTAAAACATGGGCTGGTGGACTAGTTCAGTGCACTAAAGTGTTTGAGAGCAGTCAGAGCTGGAGACGGGGAGCTCGTCAGAGACTTGTGGAAACACTGCACACTGCTCAGTCAAGACAGGCAGGTTTTTGGAGACGTCATCCATCCATCACTCAGCCCACCTGTGCTCTCATGTGTGTGCCCTGGTTGTGACAGGCATGCTCAGGGTCGCCTAACACCTGCCACGTTGGGCCCGACTCTCAGGAGACATGAAACAGAAACACTTAAGTACTTCTGCGAGGGCGTGCACGGCTGTGTGCGACCATTAATGCAGGTCGTGGGCACGCAAAATGTTTACCCAAGAAAAACAGGCTGTTTTCTGTAGTTCTGACCTCACTAAACACTAAGAAAATATAACACTTAACAAAAATGCTACACTGGTGGTCATTTATTTTCAGGGTGGGAGCATGAGGACATGGTAAGAAAATTAATGGTTTGGTTTGGCTTCTGTCCACTGATTGTATGTAGGGCTTTTCTACAAAGACTCTCTGTTTGGTCACGCCGACACCATCTTGTTTGCTAAAACAAGCAAGCTTTTGTTGGACCGCTCACGCAGACGGACATGCCATAGGTCACATATCATTGGAGGTCGGCAGAAACCTTGTTTGTTGTCACAAAGCCCACGCATGAATCAAGAGCTTAATATCAAATAATCCGTTTTCCTTGGAATTGGTGGATTGCTGACGAGTTGAAGGATTTCTATTCTCTAATGTTCAGTCTAATTGTTGCTATGACACTCAAGACATAAGAAACCTGGGGGACCATCTGAAAACAAAACTGCATTTGGACCTTGGGCAAAAAAGAACATCTAGAAAAGACCAGTCCACTGCACAGAAGATGGAGGGAACAGAAACTTGATATCACACAAGAGGAGAGGGCTGGAATCCAAGGAAAGGAAAGTGGAAGGTAAATGATGCAGTATGGCAATACATCATCCTTTCCTCAATTTAGATAAAAAAAAAACCACAACTTGTTTGCCAGTTTCTACACAAAGAAACACCGGACTTTCAAAGCGAAAGCGACAAGTGCACAAGACGGTTGGAGAGTAAAGAACTGGAACAGTGTTGCTGTAAACATTTCACATTCGAGACAACTGATCGTCTCAGTGGGGTGTTTGAGAAAGAGATTGCAACACCGTGTGAAATATGACTGAAACAAGTCGCTGGCATCAGATTCAAAATGAGTATCGACGGAATCCAAATTTCCACATTAGATGTGTTCTCACTATGCTGCTTTTTAAATAAACACTGTTCCTGTTTTTCAGCTGATTACAAGCTGTTTGGATTTATATTTTACGCAGCATCCAAGCTTTTTTGGGAAACATGGGTAAAACTATGCGTTGCTCAACGGCGGTGATTCATCTGCTGTGGCTTGTTTAAAAAATGACCTCAGCAAGAACAAGGAAGAAAACACAAGTCCATTATTACAAAAGAGGAGTCGTTCTTTTAAAGAGTAATGAAAATGTGCTGAGGGACAGGCACCTATAATCAGTGTCCCCTGCTGTATGATGTCAAACACTTCTTCGTTTGTGACATCGCAGGAAAACTAGGCCAGACATTAAAGCTGGTTCTTTCAGTCACAAGTCATGTTCTCAAACCAGTACAAGTGATGGACGTGAGCCAGTGTGAACAAAAAATATCTGGTTTCAATCTGTGCACTGAACCATCTTTCTCATTCTCCACTGGGGTCAGGTAAGGCCATTCTGTTTCAGGACCAGCAGAACACTAGAATCATTAATCAGAACAACGTCCTCGGCTCTTCTCACTGCTTCTCTCCCTGTTCCACCAAACTCCTTCCCTTCTCTCCGGTCTGAGGGGGTTCTGCTGACCAGACATGAGGCGTTAATGGCTGTGACCGGAGGAAGCCAGACTTGAAAAGTGAAAGAAGCATTTGCTCTCTCCTCCATCTCCTGCTTTCCTCCCCCTCTCTGCTTCGCGGACCAGCTGGCTCTGGTGAAGGGTTTAATTTAGGAGAGAGAAGAATTCCATGGCAGAGATCCACCGTAGCTGACGGCAGACGCGAGGGAAGCAGACTTTGGAGCTGGGGCGCTGAGTCGTCCAGGAATTTTGGGGGACTTGTTTCTCATAGTCCTCTCTGTTTAATCCCCTATACAATCAGGCGAGCATTATAGAAACAAATTGTTTGTTTACAGAAAGGTTCAATGAGAAGGTTTTGACTCATAGCTGGAAACCAGAGACAGTTTGAAAAATGGCAGGAGTGACTGAAGGGATAATCATTTGGCATTGTTGTGTAAACATAAACATTAGTGTTTAGGTTGGAAACCTCGAACACGCAGAAAAGCAGGGCGTTCTGAAAAAAACGCAGAGGCGCGCTCTGGCAACGCAAACCCAGCAACTTCATGTAAAACAATGGAGCATCTTGATGAAGGTGAGCCTCGTCTTCGAAGGCCTTCTGGAAGGCCAGGGACGAGTGATGTTTCACCGTGACGGGCAGGCAGGATCTGTTCTTCGACTGTGGTCCCATGTACATTTCCAGTTTGAACACTAAGCTTATCGTTACATCTGTCAGTGCTATGACACCAAGTTTTTTTTTATCACTATCAGATTATCACACTGATGAACGTCCAAGCTGGTGGATAGATTGCATTCTTGCAGGGTGACGTGAGAGCAGATGAAAACAAAATGATGTGAGGTGCTTTAGTGATTCCAGATTGCGTGACAAGTGGACGCACCTAAGCTCCCATTGCTTCCCCCCCCCCCCCCCCCTCTTTCTTATGACCTCCCCTGCTCCTTGTCACTTTGAAGGTTCGGTGGGCTGTCAGTCACGAGCATCGAGTTGTGAAAAGCAGGACTGTTCACATGTTGGATTAATTAAGTATTATCGGAGCCACACTGCTTCGGCTTCTCCTTGCTGCCTGGTGTAAACCAGTACGACTTTGGCCACAAGCCTTTTATTGTTTTTGCTTTTCCTTTTTCCATGGAGTCACTGACACGATCAGCGAGAGGTCCCAAAGTCTGAGCCGTCCCCTTTAGTCAGATGACCCCCTGTGCCAAAGGTCCTACTGACAAGCTAGGAAAAGGTTGTCTCATTCTCTATGATCTCTGTTGAACTCAGTGCAGTAAAAGTGTCATGTTAGTTTCTAAGTGTAATTTCTACTTTTACAGAGCTCCTCTGCATCATATTATAAAGAGAGAGCACGCGCTTCATTTGGTGGCACAAACTTTTACTGATGGAGCAAATCTGGCAACATTAACGAGTCTCACCAACCCATGCAGTTGGGGATCAGAACACATATATCATTTCTTAGACACTAAGGACTTGTATAAAATGGCTTCAGATGAACTGCGACGGGTAAAGT